TCCTGCTTAAAAGTGATCTATAGTTGAGAAAAATAGGATTTGCATGATAGCCAAGACATCTACCTCTGCGCCAGAGGGCTGGATATTTACACAGTAACATCACAACTCCTGAGTATAGTACTTAAAAGTCCAAGGCCCGTTTCTCAAATGTATCTTAAGGAAATAAAAAAAAAATCACAATGAAGACTTTAACGTTAAGAAACTAGGCTGGGGGTGTGGCTCAGTGTACAGCACTAGTAAAACAGGGGCAAAGCCCTGGGTTCCAAGCCCAGCATCCAAAACACAACAAAAAATGTTTTAAAATTTACTCAAGATCATAGATGTAGGGCTGGTTAGCCTCAAAGCCCTATCCATTTATTATACATCCTCCCTTCCGACAAAGCATTTTTTTTGCTTAGCTTCCTTACAAAGCAGGGGCTGCTTCTGAATTACGTCCCTCTTCTGAGTTGCTCATCAGACAAATTTGTAACTCACATACCTGACTGACCATATGTTCTTCAAGTTTCTTAGTTGTATTTTCCATGAGACAAGAGTTTGATTTTAAAATACTGAAAAATAAAAGTAAAATAGTATCTCCAAATGAGTATAAATTTAAAAATAAAGAGTGTTTTCTTCTAGTAGACTTTGGTAACGTTTAGTTGTGCCAAACTTTTGCCCTTGCGTCCTTTTAAAAACAAAGATCTGCCTTCAGGAAAGTTCTGAAATACAACTGTCAGCGTTTAGAGGATAGTGAGACATATTTACTACCTCAACTTATATTGACTGTGCCCTTTCCTTCAGTGAAAAATTGAAGAAGTTGATAGAGTATTGGCTTGAGCACAGGAGATCAACCTTCTTTTCCCAGATCTACAGCTGCCTGAATAATCTTAAACCTGTCATTGAATTTCTTTACATGTTTTCCTATCTATAGATGACAACTAACACCACTTTCCTTATAAGAATGCTAGGAGGACTAAGAAAATGTCAGGTAAGCTCTATTTTGTTCATTGGATAGCAGTTTTACATAAAGACGTGGTATTGTTTAAGGCTATGAACTCAACCGTAAGGATGATTGGCATCTAAAATTAAGTCACATTTAAATGATGTAGCATAACCAAGTCAGCGAGTGCTTTTTAAATCTCTTTTTATTCCGTTATCCACAAATTTTAAGAATAACACTCATCTTTCCCATTACAAAGGTTAACATTCATAGATATTGGAGAAAATTGTATCAGTAGATATGCACGGCAATCATTCATGGGTTGTTTCTTCTTCCTACTGTTGAAGTAAGAACTGTATAGAGATGGTCTAAGTTTCCATTTAAACAATGAATTTAAAAATCAACAATATGCTTCTTTATTACCTTTTATAATGCATGTCACTTTGATGCATTCTTTACCTTCTAGCTCAAAAGAATTGAGTGATTATCACAGATAAGCATTATCTTTCTGGGAGGTCTGTTATTTTAAATCATCCTAGAGAAAGGTTTTGCAAAGGCACCTTAGTAAAAGCTGGGAATATTCTTTTTTCTAAAGGTGTTGTGACAGCCAAAATTAAATATATATTTGCATTGCAAAGCGTATTTATGCGAGCAGAATGCAATTTGAAACTCTTGGAAGTTAGCTGGGACAAGGGAGCTCTCATCTTGGGGGAAGAGGTCTTGAAAGGTTCTCCTCCTCAGCACAGTGAGGGGAAGGAGAGGCAGAGGCAGGGACACATTTCGCCACTGGCCACAAGAAGAACAAAAGGAAATCGTGATGTGGGCTACAGCCACAGGGCAGGATATGGGCACGTGGTGAACTCAGTCATTGGATAAACAGTATTTGCCTCCTTTTCAGAGTCACAGAGCAAAACAGGATGTAGAATTTGGACACTCGTGTGGCGACAGCTTTTCAATGTCCAGAACTGATGGGAAGATCCACAGAATGACAGCAACAGATATGTATGTAACAGTTTGTCCCGGACAGCTCAGACTGTTCTCTCCCAGAACGTGCACTTTGGGAGATAAAGAAGTGTTATTAGAAACTTTCTCACGAGTTGCTTGCTATTGTACTCAGTTCTAAAACCACTACTTCAAGAAATGCTGAATACCTACTTAAACTTCCAAAGTTCCTGCCTTATGCATTGTTTTTGTAAGGACAGAGATAGAGGGTGCACGGGGTTTTTTTTTTTTTTGTATTTTTATAGACTTTTTTTTTTTCATCTCAAAAACAAGTACCAAGGATAGCATTACTGAAGAAGAAAGAGCTTGGATTCCAGAGTTTTTCTCTTACTTTCCATCACTACTTTTCTCCCCTACCCCTCCTTTTATCTTGGGAAGAAAATCAATAGAACTTTTCAGGATATTGATCCTTAATTTTTGATCTCTATCACCAACTCCCCTTTTATTTGTCTTTTTCTGATAAATAATTTTCTGCAAGAGTCCTTTATGTTTATCTTCCACCCTCTCTGTTGAAAATTTGTTTTAATATTTTTGATTTGCCAGTGTTTGTTGGCTCTTCAGTGGTTTCATTTGTAGAATATTGCTCTTGTTTCATAAATGTGAGAGCTTCTCTTATCGCTGTACATTGTTTGATAGTTTTCTTCTGCTTCCTGATTTATATCAGTTTATTTCTCTTGCTTTTCTTGCAGTAGTCTCTGTCTTTTATCTCCAAGACTTTTTACAGGAGGGGATTGTTTAGCATAAAAGCTTTCATTTAATCTTCTCAATTTACAACAAGTCTCCCTACCCTGCCTCGGTTTGCTTGAATCCTGAGTTCAGAGCCTATCTCCAAGGCTTCCTCTCAAAAGCCTTCTTCTCCAAACCCCTTCCTACTACTGTCTTCTCACATTCTCATCATACAGGGCTTGTTACTTCCTGCTTTACTGGAGGTAGCTTGTGCCCTCTTGTACCAGGGACTAGTTTCTCCCCTGAAGAGTATGCCAGGACCCTTCTCTGTTGAGACAGGATCAAACCACACTGCACTCTGCTGGTGACTTGGCATCACTTAGCTCTGTCAAAATTGTATCTGCGCCTTAGTCTATGACAAAGGAGAGAAGGAGCCCTAGGTGACTTTTCTGGAGACTGATGACTGCTACCACGGTTTTCCTATCTGAGTTGACCACTGACCTCTTTCCAAGGATGGGGACACCAATTTTAAGAGGCCCCTGTCTGTGGTAGAAGCATTTTGATTCTTTTTTAGCTTAGAAATCTCAATTTGAGTTTAGCCCTTCCCAAAGTTAATAAAGGGGGGACTCCCCCTATTTTTCCTGTTCTAAAAGAAAGTCATTCCCATAGACTGCATAGTCCCAAATAACGTTTAGCCCCTATAGTTTTCAGTTTCAACACAGATTCTACAGTATTTTCTTCAACATAACAATAGCTATGAAGAGCCATGTTCAGTTCTACATTATGCTGAAGCAATCCGTGGAGTGCATTCCTCTTAATGTGTTTCATTTGAATTCACACTAGCAGAATAAGTCTGGAATGAAGTACTTCTCTACATAGCATGCATGAATTCATGTTTGTAGTAGACAGTAAGAAACGTGAATTTACGATTTCATTAATCTGAACCTAAAATCTGTTGTAGGCAGGACAAAGGACCCCGTAACGTAAGTATTTCGTGCAATTTTTTCTATTTTCTGGTGACATTTCTTCTTGTGTGTTTGATAGCATGTCCTAGAATTCCTTTCGTTGGGGGCAGTGCACTCTGTTTATATATGTTAACTGACAGATGATTTGCTATATTTTGTCTCAACTACTGTAATGTGTTCCTGTCAGGGAAGATCATTGCTGCTTTCCCTGCTAACACTACTGCTGTTCACAATCATTATTTATTGTTTTATTTCCAAATAATGAGTTCTAAAGCATGCATCTCTTCTCCCTCTTAGATTACCCACTTTTACTTTACAGTAAAATTGCATTGTTCTGCCACTTACTAGTAACAAACTCACGGACATACGGGAGGAAAAAGGCTATTTTTCTTGTATAAAAAAACTATCTTCTTAAAAAGAGGTACTTTTAAGAAAAAGTTTATATCTGAATTGGAGAACTTAGAAAAAAGCATAAGAGGAATGCTACATCTTCTGCTTTTACTCTTAGCTAGCGGGAGGGCAGGTTGGATTCAATGCAGCTATTGCTCAAGGCTGTGGACAAAGGCACCAGGGGGCCACCAGCAAGCTGGAGGCCTGCAGCACCCAGTGAGCAGGAGCACAAGTACTGGAGGGCTCCAGGGGGATTTCTAAACTCAGTGTGCCCGACAGTTACTAGTGGTGAAGAAACAATGAATTCTTATAGCTCCTGCTTGAAAGAAACAACCTCCCAGCTGTGAGCAAGGAATCTTTCAGGTTGGTCCCCAGAACCTGGAAAAACTGACTCAAGACCCATGCTAAGGTCCGAAAGGCACCCCCTACTCACCCCTTGCATTGAACATATTGTGTGTTTGATTTTAAATCAGTCCAGTTGCCTGAACGGTCTGAACCATCAGGTGATCTTCTTTGTATTTTAAATCTTGCAGTGTAGATTACTGACGGCATCTCCTATAATCGATAAACGTAGTTGGGTTATTATCAAAAGTAATATATTTACTGTTTCATAGTTCCTCAAATTTAATATTTAAAAAATTTCAGTTTAATAACCTCTGCTGCCTAAGCTAAAAATATTGAGAGGGTCCTTCTAAATGTTTCAGTAACCAATACCATAATTATTATTCTCCCCAGAAAGCAAATCCTTTTAATCTTTATAAAAAATTTGAATATAAAAAATAAACATTTTGTATCTGTCGTTAACATTTTCCAACTTCTATTTTCATTTAGAAATAATGGCTTTTGACTACAATATTCATCATTAAATATTCATTCACCTTTGTCCTCTTTTGACCCAAACCCAAAGCATAGAAAAAGTCAGCTTGCATGTCTTAAAAAAACAAGCCAAAAGAAAATTAAGGAGGAAGTAGGTGGGAAGAAGAAATTTAAAAAAATCTGTTATTTACCTTTTTTTTTTTTCTATGCTTTGTTTAAATGTCTGTTCCTAAAGGTTATGGTGGAATCTTGCCCTCTGAACTAACCATTAGGAGGTGCTCATAGTTTGGAACAATTCCTTCAGACCTTGAAAGGTACTCATAGTCTAGTTCTTGTATTTTATAGAAGTTATCTTTAATTTTAGAAATTTTCATTTTACTTGAACTTACCACTTGTAAAATTGTCAAGCTGACAGCTCTGGGAGCTGAAATCATCCAATTAGTCCCCAAAACAAATGTTTCTGTGGCACCTATCACCGCTGCACACCAATAGGCCCTCAGACAAACACATCAAGTTAAAAGAAAAACACGTATTTAAGAAAGAAAGACTTCTGGTCTACCTTGCATTCAGAGCTGTGGTTGATTTTAATTGGTGTGAAGTAGTGGTCTTCAGGAAGTTTTCCCAAGGGCTGTACCTAATTTTGTTAAATAGAAGAGCACGTTTGTATCCTGAATATGCCCACAGGGTAGGATCTACTGTCATAAAGCAGTTTCAGTTCTGTATCATAGACACATTCAGACTATTAACTATTCATTTTGTTTCTGACATTTTGCTCTTTGCTGTAATAGACCCGAACCACAAATTTGACTTCTGTTTGGCACAGGTGTGAACAAAAAGGACAGTCAGCCCTATCCTCACTGGATTTTCATTGACTCCAAAGGCATTGGTTTGGGGAAGTGAAGGATTTTAGCTTGCTAATTTGTAAGAGAAGTTATTGTTTAACAGTAGGTTTCTGGGCTGGGTGGGCATGGGGGGGTGGTGATGGGATTTAGCTCGATGGGATTTAGCTCGATGGGATTTAGACGATGGGTGCCCTCGTCTGCCTTGCAAGCGCAAGGACTGGAGTTCGATCCCTGTTACTATAACAGCAGCAAACCAAACAAACAAACCAAAAATAAGTTTCTGTTCAAATGCTACAATGATAAAATAATGTGCCTGAATTACTTAACTGATTTAATAAAGGCTTCCATGATCCTGTGTTAGTTATCAAGTACCGGGTGGCAATCAAAGACTGATAAGAACTATTAATTTTTTATTAAAAAACTTTTTTTGATACTGGGGATCGAACTCCCGTCCTTGCGCTGGCGAGGCTAAATCCCCGGCTCTTGACTATTAATTTTTAAATACTTGTATATGGAAGGAAACAGATGCATAACATTTCAAAAGTGTACAACTGAGAAAACTTATTTTTATTTGGAATCAACTCCTAAGAAATAGGAATACTTATCTTACTTTTGTATCTTCCAATTAGCTGTAGTAAATTTTAAATCTAGGTGCTTGTGTGGATTTAGGAGAGGTGTTATGCTTGCACTGGGTAATGTAGATGGCGACACCTACTGGCAGCCCTAGATTTTGCACCCTAGATCCATAAGACACTGAAGCCCCTGCTACTTTCTAAAATAAAGATATTTTAAATCTACTGTACGTTAGGGTTATATATTACTGGAAATGTCATATATTTGAGCAAGAGTATTAGTTTACAGAACCTAAAGTATGCTGCGCTAAAAGACTCCCGAAATCTCAGTGGTGTAAGTTCACAAAAGTTTCATTCTTATACATGCTGTATATATTATTTCCAGATTATTAGTGATGAAAGATGACAAGTGAAAATTGGGACTCGGTTTCACATCATCGTCAATTATTAGCATAACGTCCCAGCGATATTCAATGAATAATTCTCCCCTTTCCAATAATTATATCTGTCTTCTGTCTGTTGATCTGGGTCTTTCTGTATTTGCATTACTTACATGGTATTTTTATTATAGCTTTATAACACTTTCATCATGTGAGAAGACTGAGCTCTTCTTATTATTCTTTTAAAAATAAAATCTGTTTTCCTTGCCTGATTAGTTTTCCCAGAAACGTTTAGTATTATTTGTTAAATTTTTCCAGCTGACGTTTAACTTTGATTTGAATAGCATTAAACTAAAAATTAATTTGGTGATAACTGATACTTAGAAAATATTATTTTTCCATCCAAGATATAAAAATATCTCTTAAACATACTTAGAATTTCATTCACAATGTTAAATATGCTCATACTGAAATAGATCCTTGGGACTTTATATTTTTGTTATGAGAGTTATTCACATGATTTTATTTCCACATTTGCTTTTATTTGCCTATGGGCATGTGGATGCTTCTGTGTTTTTCTCTTGTAGTAAATAAAATAATTGTATACATTTCCATACAGTGACATTTTGCATTTTCTTTATATATAATCACTGTTGTTTATGTCATACAATTATAATTTTAGCTCCGTTATGTGTTAAAACATTGGCCCAAATCTTTCAATAAGGGTATCAGAAATCATTATTGCTTTTTCCAGATTTTATTGAAATCTCCCTTGAATTTTATCACAGCAACATATGACAGTGACTATGTTTAATCGTATTTATAGTATACTTTATGCTTATTGGTATTTTCAATAATTATGACTGTTGAAGATTTATTCCATGCCTTTTTAAAAAATTATAATGACCGTGTTTTTCTTAACTGACCTAATAATTTAAAGTATTATAATAATATCTTATATTAATACTAATTCTTCTTACATTCCTAAACTAAATCCCACAGGATGCTTATTTATGTAGTACTAAGTTCTATTTCTAAGATTTCACTTTATGATTTTTAAAAATTCTTACTTATTTGGAGATGTGTTCATAACTTTTCTTTAATCATATCCATGACAAGATTTGATATTTTATATCTAAAATCATTGGTTATCACTTATAAGGTTATTTCACAGTTGCCAGCAGACATTTTATTTTATTCTGTTCTAAAAATATTCAGTTATATTTCTTGAGTTAAATTTTCTAATAATTAATTTTGTCTTCTAATTCTTTTTATTTTAAATCACTTTTTTCTAAAATTTGTTTACATTTTTAAAATACATGTAAAAGTAGCATATCTTTTCTCTGTGTATTTACTATACTTTAAATTTTTAAAATAAACATAATGATTGCACATATTAATGGGATAAATGTGATGTATTGATATAGGAATGCCTTATGTAATGATCACATCAGGGTAATTATCCTTTGTACGTTTTTCATTTCTTTGCACTCAGTGTATTCAAAATCCTCTCCTTGAACTCTTTTGAAATATACAATACGTTCTTGTTAATGACAGCCACCTTACAGTGAAAGAAATTTATATTTATTCATTTATTTTTGGTACCACTATTGCTGTAAGATTCTTGTACATTCTTTTTATCTCTTCCTTGGTCTGATAGTTATTTTAAAGGAGGTGCTTTTATTTTCAAATGTTTAAATCTTGTTTCTAGTAACAGAAAAATTTAAAATTTACATTCCATTATTAATAGGTAATAGGATGTATGATTTCTGTTTTACTTATGTATTTATTTATTATTTATTTTGATTACTGGCTTTACTTTGGGCCTGGTATCAATTTTCATACATGCTTCTTGGATACCCTTTGTGAAAGAGGCTATTGGTGATGTCAAGAACTCTGGAAGTTTGCGATTTCATATTAATTAATAAATTAGCTTCCATGATGGAATGGAACACATATAACCAGTGGCTTGGAGACAAAGGATCTTATTGTTCACATTTGCAGTGATTAGCTACAGCGCCAGTCTTTTTGTATCCATTTTCTACACCCCAATTCTCATAGACTGAGCACAGAGGACCAGGCTACATCTGCACACAGAAAGGAGGTGTTTCAGGAGAGGAAACCTGACCTCAGTGAGCCTGATGATTTTAGCAAAGTGTGCCTGCCTTTTATTCTGGAGGGAGATGTTTTCTTTCTTTGTTAAGCTAGACAGCAAGTATCTCTGAACTTTGCTCTGGAAGGAGACATTTTCAGCTTCCAATACTACAAGTAAATTAACTGTTGGCTCTAGAGTGAAATATTATCTTTCTTCAAGGAATTTTTCCATACAAAACATCTGGAACAAAGACATATTTGGCTTCAGTTGCAAGATGCACCAAACCAAGAAACCCACACACGATTAGTGTATCAGAGCAGGCAAATAGAAGATATATCACCATCTCTATCTATCTGTCTATCTATCTATCTATCTATCTATGCATACATACATCGTTTAAACTCCTGAAAATGGTTTTCGTCAGCTTCACATAGACATGGATGTAAAGTGGAGACACTTGTTAACGTGTTTCTGTGTGTATCTAGACATAGAGTGTTAGGTTTAACGGTAGAGATGATAGGTGAGCTAGATATGGGGTATATTTTTTAGTAGTCATCTTTTATGTTTTTAATGATTGAACTTTGCATATCTTAGACTATTCAGATTTAAATACTCCATATTATTTCTTTTATGATTTATTAACTCTTTTTTTGGTACCGGCGATCGAACTCGAGTCCTTGCTCTTGTGAGGTAGGAGACAGAACCGCATAATTAAACCCCCAGCCCCTCTTTTACGATTTGTGATACTCCATATACAAGAGCTTTTTTTAGTCCATCCGTGTACACTGTCACATCAGCTGTGATTGTTGTTGTTGTTGTTGTTGTTGTTGTTGTTACTATCACTTAAAAGCAACAAATCACACTATTAACTTATCAGGTAGGTGTGTTTTGCCTTTTTAATGGGGCAGTTTAATCTCTACTCTTAACTGTTTTGCTTTGAGCTCATACTTTTGTTATCTGTTTTTGTTTGCTCACCCTTTGGCTTCTCTTCTGCAGGCCATTTTGTTTACTTTGGTTTTCCACCGCTTTGTATTAAACATCCTGTGTTTTAATATTGTTAGTGGTTCTTTCATGATAATTAAGATATATTCATAGCTATTTATTTGTGAATATCAGTAGTAACAAAGCGCTTGTTCATTAATTGTGTTTCCTGTGCCCACTTCTTCCCCCTTCCCAATCTTTAGTGATTAATCTGGTTCTGCAGACTCTGAGATCGATGTATCTCCATATGCTCCTCCTTTCAACAAACCAAAGTTTGTGCAGTGTTGCACTTTTATTACCTTAGTGATGCCAGTTATTTTGAGTATTAGGATTTGTTTTATTTTTTCACAGTTATATTTTGCAACAGCTGTTGGAGCCCTTCTGGCACACATGGAAGTCCAAGAGAAAGAGTCCTAGTTTTTACCATTTCTTTGTGCTTTGGAG